GCAGGGGAGAATGGTAGAGAGCAGGGAGGAGAAAATCAGGAGGAGACTACGGATCTAAGTCGAAGATGAAAAACAGAGTAAGTGTGAAGGACTTTTCAATAGCAAGAAGGTATTGAAATGGGTTACCCAAATCGGTTCAGCCCCAGGGAAGGTAAGGTGATAGGCTAATGCGCCAGTGACAGGTCACTTTCCATTCCCTTTCAATAAGGTGTGGAGTCGAGCTCCCAGAATAGTGAGTCAATAAATAGAAGGGCTTTGAAATTTATTTGTATTTGTTGGAATTTGCTATATATGCCTGTACCTTTGGATACCATCAAAGATGACTTGTAAGTCTATGGCTTGTACTTTTTCTTCTGTATTTGTAAAAAACATAATTACAAAGATGGTAATGGGAATAAGGCTCTTGTGAGGCTGGTCTTTTCAGCTTTCCATCTGACTGTCTAGGAAATATATTCAAGGGCAGATATGGTCTTAAGTCCAACATGGGAGAGGCAGAGTGAAATAAGGTGTCCCTTAACTTAGTACTACAAAGTGGTTTTGATTTTCTCACGTTTCAAGGACAAGAGAACCAAGGTTCCTAGAGCTTTCATGACTTGTCTAGAGCTCAATGGCTATGATAGCAGTCTGTTTCTCTCTTACTGTGCTCCTTTATTTAAAATATTCTGCAGTATCACAAAAAATCTTAGTCGATATTTTTGCCACCAACTTATATCGTCTTCCCTTGGTTTTTGTTACTACTAGGAGTCATTGACAACAGATACTTTCTTCCATTAAAAGATATTTTAGGGGGCACCTGGGTGGCTCAGTGGGTTAAAGCTTCTGCCTTCGGCTCAGGTCATGATCCCAGTGTCCTGGGATCGAGCCCTGCATCAGGCTCTCTGCTCAGCGGGGAGCCTGCTTCCTCCTCTCTCTCTGCCTGCCTCTCTGCCTACTTGTGATCTCTGTCTGTCAAATAAATAAATAAAATCTTTAAAAAAAAAAAGATATTTTAGCACTTTGTGCTAATAATTACTTACATTCCACTATCACTGTTTTTCGGCTTCTTGGAAATTCGCTTTGAGCCTTTTAACACCTTGGCCTTACACTTCTTTAACTTCTCACTTCTAGTCATTTGCCAAGGCTTGTTGATTTTTTTTAATACACTTTAGTTTTTAGAGCAGTTTCAGGCTCACATCTAAACTGAGCAGAAGGCAAGATTCCCCATATATCCCCTGCCCTCACTCAGGCTTGGCCTACCCCATTCTTACTAAGTAAGATAGTATCTTACTGTCAGAGTCAGGCACTTGTTGGAATTGATGAACCTGAGCTATCACATCACTACCAGCCAGGTCTATAGCTTACATCAGAATTCACTCTTGATTTTGTATATTCCAGAGGTTTGGACAAATTTATAACAACACCTATCCACAATTATAGTATCATATACAGTATTTCCACTGCCCTGAACATCCTCTGTACTCTGCCTCCTATCCCTATATTTCCTCTGATCTCTGACAACCACTAATCATTTTCCTACATTCATAGTTTTGCCTTTTTTAGAATGTCATATAGTTGGAATCACACAGCTTGTAGCCTTTTCAGATTGGCTTTTTTTACTTAGTAAAATGCACTCAAGTTCCCTCCACGTCTTTGCATGGCATCATAGCTCATTTCTTTTCCTTTTTTTTTTTTTTTTAAGATTTATTTATTTCAGAAAGGGGGGAGGGGCAGAAGAAAAGGGAGAGAGAATTGCAAGCAGACCCCCGACTGAGTGCAGTGCCTGATGTGGGGCTTCATCCCACAACCCTGAGATCATGACCTAAGCCGAAACTGAGTCAGACGCTTAATTGACTGAGCCACCCAGCACCCCTTGTTTCTTTCTTTCTTTTTTTTTTTTTTTTAAGATTCCATTCATTTATTTGACAGAGAGAGACCACAAGTAGGCAGAGAGGCAGGCAGAGAGAGAGGGGGAAGCAGGCTCCCTGTGAGCAGAGAGCCCGATGCGGGACTCGATCCCAGAACCCTGAGACCATGACCTGAGCCAAAGGCAGAGGCTTAACCCAATGAGCCACCCAGGCGCCCCTATTTCTTTTAAGTGTTGAATAATACTGCACTGTCTGGATGGACCACAGTTTTACCCATTCACCTCCTGAAGGACATCTTGGTTGCTTCCAAGTTTTGGCAATTCTGAATAAAACTGCTGTGAACATCCTTGCAGAGGTTTTTATGTGGACATAAGTTTTCAATTCCTTTGGATGATTTTGGTTTTGTGAGAAACCACCAAACTGCCTTCCAAACTCTCTGTACAATTCTTTGTTCCCACGAGCCTTGAATGATATTTCTTGTTGCTTGACATCTCCCACACCCTTTGGTGTCAGTGTTCTGCATGGGGCCTTGTTGATTGCACTTCTCTTGTGTCTGTAATTCATGAATCTTTTCTTCACGAATGCTGTCACCCTTAACATTCAGAATCATTCCCCCACCCCTCAGGACCACTGCAGGAGTCCCTTAACAATTCACCTGCCTTTACCAGGTCTACCTCCCAGCCCAAATCGGATAGTGCCACTAGATTCATTGAGTAAATATCAGCTCTAGTATCTTACTTTTCCATTCGAAAGTCATCAGAGGCTTTTGTCTAATAAATAAAACGGAGCTTGGCATTGAAAATGCTCCAAGATCTATCTCTAGCCTACCCTTCAATATAATTACCCTCTATAATCCTATCTTGCAAGTCAAACTACCTTTTCTTTCCCCGTTTCTGGGTCAGCTTCATGTTTTCTTGCTTCTATCTCCTTGAGGGTTTTTCCTCTTCCTTTCATTTTTGTTTTTTGTAACAACATGATACATCTAGTGAGTCTCCATGCTACTGGCTCGCTCTCCAGCGTACCTCTTAGACCTGCATTCTTCTTTTGCCATCTCTGCTGTGACGTTGGGCTCTAACTTTTCTTCACTGTTCTGCTAAAGGACCTTCTTTGGTCTCCCTCTCTCCACACTGCTTTCATGTTGATTTTTCTCTTGTGGAAATCTTAAGCTACCATTTTCCTGCTTGGAAACTTTTCCTGTTCTCCATTTCCTGGAGCAAGATCTTTGGCTTGTTTTTCAGGTCAAATCATGGCATTTTTACATCTCACCTCTAGTTCTACCACTTTCTTTCTTTATGTATATTTTGTTCTATGTCAACTTGTGAAGTTGTATATGTCTTTGCTTTTCTACTCTCTCCTAAAATTTTTCCCTGCCCTGTCCACCTGACAGACTCTTAGTTTACGCTTTATCTTGTTCTTCAGACATGACCTCCTGAAGCTTTTCCCTGAATACCCCAAGCAGAGCGAAGCTGTCCATTTTCTCAGTGTTTCAGTATTGCTTCTTGTGGTTGCTGGTGTCTTGTTCTATTACAGTTACCATTTTACATGTCTGACTTTTATCCTAACTGTGTGTAAGGGCCACACCTTATTTATCTTTACATCTTCAGCATCGAAAAGAATGGGGTGCAGTAAATATTTGTATATTTATAATTTGGCTGAACTGAAATCAACCTCAACATATTCAGGCCCAACACACACTCCAAGCTTCCTCCCAGTGGAGTGGTCTTTTCCATGGAGGCCTTCCCTGGTGTCACTCTTCACCTTCTTTCAGGTGTCTGCAACACTGTGGTAGTCCCTCTCTTTTCACACACACACATCTCACATTTTGATGCCTGGGAAGAATTTTTTTTATTTCTTCCTGAATTGTCAGCCCTTTAAGGAGAAAATCCAGTTTCTCATCTTCTATCTTTTCTAAACTTTAATACATGTTCTTTGCAAATATTAGAAGCAAAATAAATATGGGTTAAATAAACAAATTAGTGCATAATTCCTTTAATGTTCATTGCATGGAAAATCAAAGAAATTGATAACTTTAAGGGAACCTTGGGATAATTTACTCTAATGTCTTCATCTTACATCTAAGAGAGGCAAATTCAGAAAAGTTCTGCTACTGTCATCAATATCTCAGTGCTTAAGATGGAAAAAAATCAGGACAAGAATCAAAGTCTCCAGATCCCTAGGCAATGTTTTTATATATTTGCAATTATACTACTCTACCTCTTAAAATGTATGAGCTATCACGTGAGTCTCTTTTACGCTTTATGTGGTAATATGTCCAATTCATTACTATTTTTCAATGATAATTATATAAGTTATACATTGCTGGATAAGTTTTTTAATGAATTTTTCACTTGGATAATTATTAAAAAAACAACTATATTAACACTCATAATACAGGAAGAAGATATAGAATTATTACAAAATGAGATCTTTACACAAACATATTCATTATTAATTCTAGGAAAGGACCTTAAGAAAACCACTCTTAGAATTAATTTAGAAACAGACTGCATGGGGACGCCTGGGTGGCTCAGTTGGTTGGACGACTGCTTTCGGCTCAAGTGATGATCCCGGAGTCCCGGAATCGAGTTCCGCATCGGGCTCCCAGCTCCACGGGGAGTCTGCTTCTCCCTCTGACCTTCTCCTCGCTCATGCTCTCTCTCACTGCCTCTCTCTCAAATAAATAAAAAAAAAAAGAAAAAAAAAGAAACAGACTGCATGTTCAATAGCAAATTATTTCATTTAGAATATCAGCATAATTATGTGATTGTCATAAATTGAATATAAAACATAAATAATATCTACTTTGGTTAAGTAGTCTTATTTATGCAAACAAGCAAATTTATTAATATAGTTCTCTGACTCATTCTGTGTGTATACTTTCTTCATGTATTTTATACATGTATTCATGCAAAGTATATCAGTATGCAAGGCATGGATTTATCATGGCTGCCACTTTATACAGATAATTTAATCCCCCCTCTGGAAAATTGTCAAACATTTTATATCTTTTTTTTTTTTAACCTTCTTCGTGTCTTAAAGGTTCCTTTTGGGGGATAAGTAAGAACATGCCATTGTTTTGGACTCAAGTAAACATTACATTCTCAGGTAGGATAGAGGATGGTTTCTGACTATCTTTTCATATTTTCTCTTTGAAAGGTCAATAAGATTTGTGGCCGTCCAATCAGAACACCTACACAAAGCCCCCGTTGTTCTTTTGAAGGAAGCAAAGAGAAGCATGGGATGAAGATCTCTCCCAGAAACGATGAAGAGACACTTGCCAACAGAAGAAAGTAAGACATTTGTTTTACAACCAGAAAGAGAAGAGAAAGTAAGCCATTAATTTTCAACAGAATAGAATGTATTCAATTAAGTAGAACAAAATACACTATTGAAGAAAAAACATCACCATTAATTACTTTTAAAATTCAGCAGTTGCTCCTATTCAATTAATTAGGAATATAAGTTCAACTTGAGACCAATAAAACTTTCTAATAAGGGACACTTGCTATAATATAATATGGCAGGCAGTAGGCACACATGCTCATTATGCACTTAAAATATGGCTAGTGTACAGTGTCGGACAGCAGATCTCTAGGACTTACTCATCTTGCTTAATGGAAACTTTAAGCCCATGAATTAATATCTTTCCTTCTCCTTGTAACCAACAATACTGTATTGTACCCTTCAAATTTTGAGAGGGTAGATCTTACCACGATTAAAAAAAAAAGTTTAAAATATGACTAGTGTGATTGAGGATTGAATTTTTAAATTTTAATTAATTTCAGTCTTAATTGTACATATAGCTACTATATTGGATGGTGAACACAGAGCTTTCACATATATGATAAATCAGTGTTACTGCATGCTAAGCATCTGTTAGAAAATGGTTGGATAAGAAGAAGTTTCTAAACCTTTTATCTAGAATGCTGAAAATGGCTCTCTGTTGATTCAAAATGATAAGCATTGAGTGGCTTGCTTCTATAACTCACATTTCTTTTTTTTTTTTTTAAGATTTTATTTATTTATTTGATAGAGACACAGCAAGAGAGGGAATACAAACAGGGGGAACGGGAGAGGGAGAAGCAGGATTACCCTGAGCAGAGAGCCCAATGTGGGACCCCATCCCAGAACTCTGAGGTCATGACCTGAGCTGAAGGCAGAGGCTTAACGACTGAACCACACAGGCACCCCTATAACTCACATTTCTACTGCTATTCCCATCATCGTTTCACATGTTAAATTAAAGCCTTCATTAATATCTCCTTGCTTGATAATTGGCAGTCAAACTGAAAAACTCTTAGAACTAAAGGAAACTATTAATTTAATTATTTTTGCATTCTGTTGACCAGTGTATGTCTTGGCAAATACTATTTTTGAATTGAATTGAAATTCAGAATTCTATATTAATTTATTAATTCAAATAGTTATTTCTAATAATACCTTATGGCAAACTCAGTATGTTACATAGCTTTACGCTCTATAATGTAGAATCTGTCTTTCCTTCTGGAACAGTGCTCCTAATTGCCTCATTCTCTTTTCAGATGGACTCTAATTTGGAATAAAGATCTGGGTTATTGCTGGCTATTTGCTGCAGCTCAAAAGAATTAGCACTTTGTTTGCATGCAAAGTAGCTGCTCTTTTCCCTCTAAACATCTATAGTGATCAGTAGTCTTTTCTCGGATTTGAGAAATTATTGTGTGTAGTTTGGTATTTCACGTATAGTGGCTAGGTATAGTGTAGAGTGGTTCTTATAGTTTAGGAAGGAAGCTAGGAAGCTCTTAAGTCCTTAAAGGTCATGTCTGTTTCGCCACCAGAACAACTCAGTGTTTGGAAAGACAAAACAAAACCGAACACAAGTGAAATGTCCAAGGAATAATGAGGGGCTCATATAAATAGCTAGTTTTGTAAGTATCTATCTAGACACTGAATAGACCTTGTTGTCACCAATCTTGCAAACTCCTGTATTTCTGTCCCTAACCAGCCAGCCACCATTAGCCATGTCCCATGAACCAGAGTAGATACATCATAGACCTGTCTCACACCATACAAAGTGAGCAACCAGAGGTATGACACATGAGCGCACTTATTTATTTCTACACGTTTTTTTATTGTTACTCTATGGAACTTAATTGTAATGGCAGTATACTTCTGCTTAATACTTAAATATTGTGCAGACCTATCCATAAGCTACTCCTGAATTTTATTTATCTTTCCATATCCATAAGCTGACCTGAATTTTATTTATTCTTCATCACTCATAATTCCCCATGAGGTTATACATTTCAAAAGAAAGAGCTGGGGAAACGTCGCAGAGTAGGTGCTGAGTGAGTTTGAGCTACTTTCTGTGCATCTTGTGCTTTTTCCACCCACTTGAGTCTGATTTTCAATAGGTCACTTCCACGTGATGATATATTGCTTGTATACAGGCCTGATCTCATAGCGTGGCAGATCAGAGAGCAGTTAGATCATTGGTATCTCAGGTTGCTGTGTCACTTGCTAACTCATGGTCAAGTGTGTAGTTTTTATCGGATTCGAGTTGGAAACCAACCGACCAACGAAATAAAAACAGTGTTTAGCAAAAGCAAGAATGCCTTTAGTCCAAAATCTTTGATGTCTATACTATTATTCTTTGAATGGGGCTTTCTTTTCTTTTCTTTTCTTTTTTTTTTTTTATCTTAACCCATAGCTTTTTTCTATTTTATTTTATTTTATTATTTATTTATTTATCTTATTAACATATAATGTATTATTTGCCCCAGGGGTACAGGTCTGTGAATCTTCAGGCTTACACATTTTACAACACTCACCATAGCCCATACCCACCCTAATGTCCATAACCCAACCACCCTATTCCTCCCCCACAAACCTCAAGCAACCCTCAGTTTCTTTTGTGAGATTAAGAGTCCACCCCCTCCTTTGAATCTGGAAGTGTCGTCGGGTCTAAAATGAGTTTCTTGTGGACAACATATCAGTTGGTCTTCTTTTTCTTATCCATTTTGATACCTGTGTCTTTTGACTGGGACATTTAGCCCATTTACATTCAGGGTAACTATTGAAAGATATGAATTAGTGCCATTGCATTGCTTGTAAGATGACTGTTACTGTATATTCTCTGTTCCTTTCTGGTCTGTTATTTTTAGGCTCTCTCTTTGCTTAGAGGACCCCTTTCAATATTACCTGTAGGGCTGGTTAGGTGTTTGCAAGTTCTTCTAGTTTTTGCTTTTCCTGGAAGCTTTTTCTCTCTCCTTCTATTTTCAATGACAGCCTAGCTAGATACAGCATTCTTGACTGCATATTTTTCTTGTTTAGTGCTCTTAATATATCATGCCAGTCCTTTCTGGCCTGCCAGGTCTCTGTGGATAGGTTGCTGCCAATCTAATATTTCTACCATTGTATGTTACAGGCTTCTTGTCCCTAGCTGTTTTTAGGATTTTCTCTTTGTCACTGAGACTTGTAAGTTTTAGTATTAGATGATGGGGTGTGAAACCTATTTTTATTGATTTTGTGCCTTCTGGATTTTGATGCTTGTTCCCTTTGCCAAATTAGAAAAATTATCTGCTATAATTTGCTCCAATATACCTTCTGCCCCTCTCTTTCTTCTTCTTCTGGGATCCCAATTATTCTATTACTGTTTCATCTTATGGTACCACTTATCTCTTGATTTCTCCCCTCGTAGTCCAGTAGTTGTTTGTCTTTATTTTGCTCAGCTTCTTTGTTCTCTATCATTTGGTCTTCTTTATCAATACTTTTCTCTTCTGCCTCATTTATCCTAGCCGTAAGAGCCTCCACTTTTGATTGCACCTCATTAATAGCTTTTTTGATTTCAACTTGGTTAGATTTTAATTCTTTTATTTCTCCAGAGAGGGCTTTTATTTTTCCAGAAAGGAATTCTCTAATATCTTCCATGCCTTTTTCGAGCTCAGCTAACACCTTGATAATCATCATTCTGAACTCTAGTTCTGACATATTACCAATGTCTGTATGAAATCCCTAGCCATTCGTAGTGCCTCTTCTTCTTCTTCTTTTTTTTTTTAATCATAACTTTTCTGCCTGTCATTTTATCCGGATAAGAATATATGAATGAGAGAATAAAATATAAAAAGCTTGGCAAAGACCCCAGACTAATGTACACTAACCAAATTAGAAGAGACCCAAAACCATGGGGAGAAGAAAGGGGGAAAAAGAAATTTAAAAAAGTAAAAAATAAGAAAAAATATATATGTATTAGACTGGTGAATAGAACAGAGTCACCCACTTGATATTGAGTGTATTCTGGTCTGTTAGAAGAAACTACCTTCCAACATTTTAAAGAAAGAAAAACTCATATATATATATATATATATATATATACACACACACACACACACACACACACACACACACACACACAAATAAGGGAAACATGATTAAGGAATGGAATATGACTGTATGTCTGTAAAGATGAAAATTTTTAAAAAACGTTCTAAAAAGGGAATTGATAATATGTTTGTTGGAAAAAGAAAAAAAGGGGGCAGTAGAATATGATCAGGCTGGAGACTAGAACAAAGCCACGCACTAATTTTAGGGTATATTTTGATCTGATAGAAGAAACTGTATCCCCAAATTTTAAAGTAAAAAGAAACCTATATGTATACAAAAAATAAGGTTAAATACAATGAAGGGATAAAATATGACTATATCAATGAAAATATTAAAAGATTTTTAAAAAAGTTATTGATAAGATAAAATAGTTTTAAAACGTTAGAATAGGAAAGAAAAAAAGTTAAAAAAACAGAATAAGAAAAAAATGAAATTTTAACTTTGAAAGACTAAAGGATCATGGGAAAAAAGCCATGCATTCTATGTGTTGCTTTTCCCTCGCTCTGGAGCTCATGAAAATGGCCGCCTCCCAATCTCTGGCCAGGAGCCGAGAGCTCAGGGCCCCACTCCTCATTGTGCCCTCAGAGCAAAGCAGTCAATCCCTCCTGTCTCCCTGGTCTCTGGCTGCAGTCCGTGCTCACCTGGCCTATGACTGAGCATTCCTATCTCCAGTGCATGCCCCGTTTGGAGTCTCCAATCCCAGCAGATTCCTGCAGTGTGCTCATGTGCTGCTCCTCCTGGAAGAGGAAGGAGGAGGTCTCTCTGGATCTGCTACTTGTGGGACCTCTGCTCAAAGAGCAGTGGCCTGACTCTGCCTCGGATCACAGTTTAAGGTAACCCCGAGCTGAGAGCCCCACTCTTTGACTCTGTCTTGGCAGCCAGCTTCCCTGCTCTGATACCTGGAGTCTCTGCCACACTGAGACAACCCTGG